AGATTTTAAATAACGAGATCTTTATTTACAACAGAACTTACGGTAAGAATATATTTTTCTAGTCACTCTCAAGAGTCTTTAGATAATTCATTTCCTTTCGACTCCATTCTCATCTGCCTCTCAGAAGTGTATTGTTTCATCGCTCGCTCATACGCGCTGTCTTCCGACAATCCTTCCTGCTACCGATTAAGTATATTGTTAGCGTTATTGAAAAATTAATTTAATCAATATATTAAGCAACTGGCATACCTTTTTTATCGTTTCGTACATGGACAGGAAGTTTTGCGTGGCGGATTTTACATTTTTGTTCGCCAAATTGGTAGCCGGTATAAAGCTCTGATCTCTATGGAACCTTCTGCAGCGGGAAATGTTGCTTAATAGTATTTACACAGCACAATATAAATATTTTATTGAACATGTTAAGACGTGTCTTACGCTCGAATAAGGTCCTCCTCATAAAAGATTGGCCTGACAGGTTTCTTTGGCAGCCGTCTGTCGTATCTAGGTTCATATTTCGGTGGGAAAGCCTCGTACACCGCCACCCACAACGGCTTGTCTTCCTCTGTCAGACCTTTGCCTTTTAATAACGAGGCAATTCTGAAACACGCATTCCATTGTGCAGTAACGTACAGTAATTATTATGAAATGTTAAAACCAGCAATTTTTTTTTTTTAAATCTAACTTTTAGAAAGGATGACGCAATACGTAAGCAATTTAATCCGAATCTTCACGTCCAAAAAGATTCTCCAATCAATTCGAAATAAATTAATAGAACGTCAGCGATTTCTTTCTGCAGCGTTTCTGTACAATCGGTAAATTTAATTTCTAAAATTCTGACAGGAGAATGCGCAGGGCTCACCTGGTGTATATCGTGCCGATTTTCTCCAGTCTGCTTTGCGCCATCGTGTATTTCCCTCGGCGTGACGTTCCACGAACGGTTTTTAAAATCAAGGCTCAACCTGGTGAACGACTTGATCTAACCTCTCTAACCTCTCACACACCGAAATCAAAACATGCCGTCGCCATTTCTAAAAAACGGCAGTCCGAGAAACCTGGAGAAACCCGAGGGTGAGTCCCAGTCCCTAGGACGAGCACGTGGACCTGCTGGGGTCTTTCCGAGCGACGGTTTGGCTCACGTGACACGTGCACGTTTTCCCGCGCAAGTGGCGGATGGTGGCTTTCAAAGCTCCTCTCACGATTATTTTATAGAGTTTACAGCGTGACAAGTGTTGATCACCCGCCGCGGAGATGGATACGGAAATCGATCAGAATCTGGAGCAGATAACGCGCGAATATGTCGACTTCCTGGACGACGTGGTAGGCATCGCCAGAATTTTTCTTATTGTCAATGTTTACTTGGCCTTTAATTCTCCATAGTCGGATCTCTCTTGTTCGTGGAAAAGACAGGAAAATATTTATTAAATCCTTGAGACTTAAAAAATATAGATATTTAGATGAGTACCTGACGTCAAAGTCACATGGCGTTATAGAGGATTAAATGCTACTCCCGTGCCGTAAGGATATTTTGCTTCGCTTGACGCTTCCATGACATTCTTGTGCTTGTTAATCTTGCAGGAGGACCAAGGCATATACGCCACAATGGTTAAAAATATGATTCAGGACGAGAAGTACAGACTGGTTGTAAACATCAACGATTTGAGAAGAAAAAATCCTGCCCGCACGGCGAGGTATACAATAAATTTGGTTTGCTTTGACTCTCAGCATACATTGTAAAGTGTTAGGAATAATTATGACAACCGGTCGTGTGTTGCAGTCTGTTAAACAACTCCTTCGAGGAGCAACTGGCGTTTCAGAACGCTCTGAATCAATACATCTCGAGCGTGGACATCGATTACGCCAAGGGCAACAAGGAATTCTTCGTAGCTTTTGAAGGCAGCTTCGGAAACAAGCACGTAACACCGAGAACGCTCACCTCTCGTTACCTGGGTAACTTGGTGTGCCTGGAGGGTATCGTCACAAAATGCAAGTATCTGAGAGAAAAGTGTTAAGTTTAACTTCTGCTCAGACTTGCAGAATTTGTCTGAGAGTCTAATCTTATTTTAATAGATTTCTGTAAATCTCTATTTGTATATATCAAATTTATTAAGTTTTGTGCAATTTATATTTATGAGAATAACATTATTTCTAAAATAAAGATACTTATAGGTTCATTGGTACGACCAAAAATTGTGAGGAGCGTCCATTATTGCGACGTCACCAAGACAGTCCTGGAGAGAGCCTATTCAGATCTGACTTCCTTGGAGGCTTTCCCCCACTCTGCTATTTATCCGACTACTGTAATTATTCCTGCCATTTTTGAATAAAATATAAAGGAGCGTTTGCTGTTCAGTGCTGGAGACTGATTTTTTCGCGTTGCAGGATGAAGATGGCAATCCGCTTGAAACGGAATTCGGTCTGTCGACCTACAAGGATCATCAGACGCTCACCATACAAGAAATGCCGGAGAAAGCTCCAGCCGGTCAGCTACCACGAAGCGTGGATATAATTTGCGATAACGATCTTGTGGACTTGTGCAAGCCTGGAGATCGAGTGCAGATCGTCGGAAATTACCGGTGTCTTCCGGGAAAACAGGGTGGATACACAACTGGAACTTTCAAGTATGTTTTAGACAAGACTCGAGGATTGTTTCCCATGCAGTTTAATTGGGTCGCATCCCTTATTTATATCTTCTTCATATCATAATAATTATCGCATAATTGCGTAGGACGGTCCTAATTGCCAACAACATAATGCAACTCAGTAAAGAAGCCAATCTTGCGATCTCCCATGATGATGTAGCTATGTGCAAGAAACTGGCGAAGCATAATCCCTGCAAAAATATCTTCGAACTTCTCGCCAAGTCCCTTGCACCATCCATACACGGCCATGAATATATAAAAAAAGCGATTCTGTGCCTTCTCTTGGGTGGAGTAGAGAAGATTTTGCCAAACGGTACGAGGCTGAGAGGGTAAGTTTTCGGAGTTCTTCATAATTTCATACTCAAAGAAAAACTTTAATATTCTCAATATCTGTGGCTCAATTAAAAGATATGTAACTTATTCAACAGTTATTTCTTAGTAAATTTAAACAGCTTATTAACAATTCAAGACTTAAATCAGAGGGTTAATTACGGACTTGATTGAAAATATATTTATAATTACATATAAAAAAAGTTTAAGATTTAATAGTTAATTCTTTCTGCTCCAAGGAGCAGAAGTTTTGCCTCTTTTTTTGCCTATCGCAATATTTACTAATGATGGTTCTAATATAATTCAGATTTTTTTATACATTACAGAGATGTAAACGTATTATTAATTGGAGATCCGTCGGTGGCCAAGTCACAACTATTACGTTATGTGTTGTGTACCGCTCCACGAGCAATTCCGACTACTGGAAGAGGATCTTCCGGCGTTGGTTTAACGGCGGCGGTTACGGTCGATCAAGAGACCGGTGAACGCAGATTGGAAGCGGGCGCGATGGTCCTGGCGGACCGCGGCGTCATTTGCATCGACGAATTCGATAAGATGTCGGACATCGACAGGACGGCGATACACGAGGTGATGGAGCAAGGCAGAATCACGATCGCGAAGGCGGGCATTCACGCCAGCCTGAATGCGCGTTGTTCGGTGCTAGCGGCTGCGAATCCTGTGTATGGGAGAGTAAGTTCGGATCCTCTTGAAGAAGCTAATTGTAATTCTTTTTAATACGAAAAAATTTAAACTTATAAAATTCTATGCGATCTATAAAATATACACTTAAATTGAATTCGCATTTTTGCAAAAATGTTTCTGTATTAAAAATTGCAGTTGCTCATATAAAGTATAATACATAATAAATAAAAAATATATGAATATTATTTAAAGAAAACTCTTTTCCTCTACTTTCAGTACGATCAGTACAAGACTCCCATGGAGAATATCGGCCTACAGGATTCTCTGTTGTCACGTTTCGATCTGCTCTTCGTTATGCTGGACGTGATTGATTCAGATCAGGATCACATAATCAGCGATCACGTTGTCCGGATGCATCGATACAGAAGTCCTCTGGAACAAGACGGGGAGGCTTTGAGCTTGGGCTCAAAGCTGGACATGTTGACCACGAAGAATCCGGATGATGTAGCTACTGAGGAGACGCAATCCGAAGTTTATCAGAAATACGATCCGCTTCTGCACGGCCAAACGCGTTCTAAAAAGTACATTGCAATCCACTTTCATTATACCGTAACATATTTCGCTATTTTGAATCTGTGAGCTTCGATTCAATCAATCTTAGACAATATCAAGCTCCGATCGCGTAAAGATTTCGTATAAAGAAATTTATCTTTCGAATTTCTTTCTCAGCGATCAGATCCTCACCATACAGTTCATGAGAAAATACATACACATCGCGCGGTGCATGAAGCCCAAGCTCACGGAAGAGGCTAGCGCCGTTATCGCGGAGGAATATTCGAAACTTCGATCGGAGGACATGGTGGAATCCGATGTTGCGAGGGTGAGTAGAAGAAAATTCCTTGACTCGTATAAAAAGATATATATACACAAGTATATGCCTGACATTTTTTCAAATAACTTTCAGACTCAACCGGTGACCGCGAGAACGCTGGAAACGTTGATTCGGTTATCCACGGCATATGCGAAAGCGCGACTTTCGAAGAATGTGGAGAGCGAGGATGCACTCGCCGCGATAGAACTCGTACAGTTCGCCTACTTCAAACGCGTGTTGGAGAAAGAAAAGAGGAAGCGACGACGTCACGATAGCGACGCATCGGAGAACGCGGACGACTTTGATGAGGGCAGACAGGCGAAGCGCTCTAAAAGGGCGACGGAAAAGTCAGGTGAAGTCGACCCGTACGAATACGACAGTGACGACGACCATATCGAGCAAGCAACCAGAAGAATAACCAGGACACAAACGCAAAAGGCCAGCACCACGCACAAATCGCCCAGCGACAGCGGTCATATGGAGACCGACGGGGCGGAATCCTCCGTTCCCGAAACCGCGACAGCGACAGCGACGCCGACAGCGACGCCGACGATCACACAAGAAAGGTAATTTCACTCGAAGTAAATAATCCTCTGTAAAATAAACTTTTAAATTAATTATGCTTTTTGTGGAATAGCAGAATCGTTTTTAAATAATTAAATAATATAGCTTCCCCCTCGCCACTTTCTTTGCATCTTAAATATCTCTAACATGTTATTTTTATACTTTTATTCTGCTAAAACCTGTTGTACCTGTTAAAACCAAAAAACGAGACGAAAGTTGTGTCGAAGATATATTCTGAACTAATATCTCTCTGATTTTAGACTCGCGGTTTTCAAATCATCGCTTAATAAGTTGTTCCAAGATCGAAGGGCTCAGAATATTCTGAAGACAGAAGTCATCGATTATCTGAACACAACGCTTTCTCTAAACTTCACACCTGACGAGATTAACGCCGCTATCATCACCATGACGGACGCAAATCAGATCATGGCTGTGGACGACTACATCTTCCTGATATAAAACGTTTTTGTAATGTTTCATTATTACAATTCGTTATTATGTTTTCACTAACTAAAGCGAGTGATATTTTTAGACCGTTAATCAAATAAAATAAAGCTGATCACTCGCTGCAACTACGTTAAATTATGAGAAACAAAAAATCATTTATAGCTACAGTGAATAGTTATGCTCTTTGTAATTTATGCGAGTCTTTGAGAGAGATATTTTTTATACCGTTTGTAATGTACGCTAGCGATCGAGTAATATTAATAATAAGCTGTACACGTTTACGAATAATGATATCTAACAACATTTATTTGCCCTATACTCGATAAGACAACACATTGGCACATAAACTAGCAACAATCATCAACATTCATTACAGTGATGTAAACGTAATGCGGCTCACAACGCTAAATCCATTTTCCGCTTCTGTAAATATATTTATATATATATATATATGCATAACATTCATCGTGCGTGTGCGTATGCGTATTATTGCGCTAACATCGATCGCGTTCCGCTAAAGGTTCGTCTCACAAATTTATTACGACGTTACTCGCACATTGTCTCGTTACAAAAAACTTACGACAGTCGTATATTTAATATAAATGCTCCATTTATCTCTCGTATGTTCAACATACACAATATAGAGAGCCGACGCACTCGTGTTTCAAAATAACTTACGCCCTCCGCCAAGTAATTCTCTCGACTGCACAACCCTCTTTTTTTCACTAAAGCGACACCCGTAACAGCATTACTGTATTAATTAATAACAGAGGTAATATAACATCAACGGTCACGCGCTAAAACTTTTACAACTGTTCGATATCAAATCAATCGCGTGGATCTACGATACAGGCCTTTGGGACGTATTCTTGCTGTAAGGAGGAAACAATCGACGATCTGCAACGTCCTAATGTGTTTTTTTCTTTTTACACAGAATCAGTACCCTCTTCACGACAAAAATATCTACGACGAATCGCGTCCTATGCTAATTGTACTCACAGTTGCCCTTAATAACACCATAATGGACTCTAGCTATTACCCGCGCGATAATTAACTTCGTGTCGTACAAAATTTGCTACATACAATTGTAGTTACCTCGAGATGACGTTTTAAAAATAGCCGAATCACACGATGCATGAGTGACAAATACGCGCGAGTGACGTGCGGAAAAATTCATCAAAACATACATCGAAATCTTTTAACAAACCGATATTCAAGGATTCAAGCATTTTCGTATGGGCGATCTGTTTGACACACGGCAGTGATGTTCCGAATTCGATGCGAAATGTGTCGCGAATATGTACGTGTTTCGACAATTGTAACTCTCTCTTTCTCTTCCGGTAGGAAATCGATTCTTCTAACACGATGAGCTTCGTTGAACGTATAACGAAAAATTTGAACGTTTTAGCTCGCTCTGTGCACACTGCCTTGGGCGTAGCAAAATATTAATATAGTTCTCAGCAGTGAAGGTGGCGAATTACGGTTGAAGCTCAACGCGTTAAAGTTCCTCGAGTTTGTGATTAAAATTATTAGGCACATTCCACGTTTCTCCCTGGATCTTCCTTCTCGCTGGATGCAAAATTCTTAGGCTAAGAATTCGTCTTTTATACAATTGCTAAAAGTAGGAATCCTCACTTCACAATCTGCTGCGATCGTAATTATTCACGATCCGCAATTTCGAAAAGTTCAGAGTTCGTCCTCGCTGGACTCGCTGCTGTAAGCTAACTGCTCCTTCCACCATTCTCGAACCTCCAACATGACGCTGGAAACTTTAGGCGCGGTCGTTTTGTTGCTCAACGCCTCCCGTTGCTGCCTGCTCTGCTCCGTATTTTCCGTCAAGTGGTGGTGCAAATTATTTTTCACCATTGCTGCAAAAAGTAATCCGAAATAATTTGGCGCTAATAAAAATGACAATACGATATATCGTACGAAAGCCATACGATCGATTCAGCTTACATGGCGGTCTGCTATTTCTCTTCTTTGACGCTGCGATCTTATCCTTCTCGGATCGAACGGCTGCGGGATCCGATAAAGTCGGTGCTAGGTACTTCCTTCCCGAAGCACTTCCTATGCTGTCCGATCTTGGAAGCACCATAGGTTTCTTGGCCCTATACTTCGGGGCTTCGACATCCTAATGGTTGGAAAATCAACAAAATAACTTGAATTTTCCTATCAGTTAACATAATTTTTATTGTTTTTTAAACCATAGTGATGATGCGAATTCTAGCATAGCAATATTTTAGGAATATAAAATATCATTTGTCTTAAAAGTTTTTTAAACAAAAAATGTTACTGTTGTATGTCGTTAATTTTTTAATTGTAATATAAAAGTATTACATTTATTTTTAGCGTTCACACTTTTCTACAGTAAATGCTCGAGTAGTGAAGCAAATAAAATGTAAGTTAAAACGCACCTTTGTTTCAATCTCCTCCTCACGATCGACGCTAACTTCCTTGCCTTTCTCCTCTTTACCCTTCTCTATATCTTGAATAAGCATAGCTGCATTATTTGTAGCGCGAAGCCCGGCGATAAGATTGTTTTGTTTCTGCAAAAAGAAAAAACGATTATTATTTTCCTAATGCGATTTTAGATCAAATTATCCTCACCGCTCGTATCTTCTTCAAGCAGCCCTGTAACCAAGTTCTGATAGTTTGCTTAGCGACTTCCTCCTCGATTATGTACTCGAATTCTTCTCGTGCAAGAAGTTCCTCCAATTGAAGCGCTTTCCTTATGTCCACTGAGCGGTACGATAACATACTAAAAAATTCTTCAATTTAGAAAAGTATTGACAATATAATTCAAAATATTATAAAAGGTTTCATATTGTCCTTTATATGAGTAAAAATTTCAGATCGAAAGATGTATAAAAGGGAAAAGAAGAAACTCTGCGCGTCTTATCGTATCAAAGATCTGAGAAATCTGAGCGTCTAAGAATTTTACTTGAGAAGCTGCTAAATGTTATATTCACAATCCGTTTTGTGGAACTTACTTAATAACATCGTGAAAGGTAACGTCTTCGCCATTGTGCAATCGTTCCAATTCGTAGCACATGTATTTGAAGAGCAGGCGATCCTTTTGCGGATCAGTCTCCAATCTGCCCTTTAACAACCGCAAGATAAACTTCACCTAAAATGCGCTAACGTCAGCATTTGCTCCTTACAGATTGCGTTTTGCCAATATAACGAGGATTCTGATTCGAGATAAGACCATACCCGCTTCACCGGTATAACACCTTTCTGATGGTTATCAACGACGTTCCACGTGTTCTGGAAATTCCTTATGTCGGCGTACGATAACAACGCGTCTTCTTCATTTGAATAGAATAGGGAAAAGTTCTCCATGATAATAGCTGTTCGAAAAGAAAGATTTTTAATCCTTGTATTAAATCACTGTAGAAAACTGATTACAAAATATATTGTTGCGATTTCTCTTTTAATGTAATCTACGTGATTTCGTGTAAGCTTTCTTGTTGCACAAATATGTCGTATACGTACCCACTAAAAGATTCAAGACGATGTAAGTGATGATGACGTAAAAGGTGCAAAAGTAAATTAGAGAAGCGTGGAAATTGCCGCAGTCCGTTTCCCAGTAATTATCCGCCGGCGTGCAATAGGGTGGCTGTATCATGCAGTCGTGCATAATTTTGTTCCAATCCTCCCCCGTCACTATGCGAAAGAGCATCGCCACGCCAGTAACCGGTGATTCAAAATTAGCGCGTCTAGATTGCAAAGAGATTACTTTTGATGTACCAAGCAGAGGCAGGGCAAGATGAAGAAATATTGTAGAGTGAAAGAAAATTTTAGTATTATTTTGGAAAATCCATATTAAAGATTGCGTGTGTATTCTATATATTTACACATCTTAAAATCTCGTAGATGATCTTTCTCACCTTCCTATGCCTTCTCCGTATTTCACCGTCCCGAAAATTATGGTGCCGGCTAACGCATAGAAGAAGACAAGGAGAAACATGCCGAATATGATGAAGAAGCTCTTGCAGACAGACACACCGACCGTCAACATCAGCATTTTGAGAGTGGTGTGTTTGCCGGTGATGGTGAAGAATCTCAGGATTACGACCATAAAGCCAATTACATAGGACAGATCGTTCTGAAAACAATATAATAAAACAAAGCGACACCGTGGGAGTGAACGACGAGTGGTAGACGAAAGAAAGGTACGATGTAAAGGATTCTTGAGTATACCTGCATCGTGCAGTGTATGATGATCCAGATAACGCCCACGACTGTCACGAGCAAATCGTATCTGTTTCTTCTGGACTGCCAATAGCCACGTGGTGTAAATGCAATAATTTTCATGATTACTTCCACGAGGAAGACCAGTGTCAGAATCGTGGAGACTGTAGCCAAAGCTTCCGTGTGTTTCTCCTCGAGTCTCCACTTCGGGTGAGCAGGATAAAAAAAGAACAGGAAGCAAGATGGCAGATTAATTAAAAGCAAATGATCTTTTTGCAATGCTCGTTAAAGTTGCATGATTCTATTGACAGTGGATTGGCCTTGAAAAATATCTACTGGGTCTCATGTATCTATATCTGAAAATTACTTTGTTCAACTTACAGAAACGCACAGAAGGGCGCTGTTCATGAGCACCATTGCGGCGATGAACCTCTTGAAATAAATGTTCTGCGTGATGTCATAGATGAAAGCGCGAAACATCTTGCCGTCCGGCCTGGGTGGTAAATGCAGCGGTTGGGCAATCTTCAGACGTTTTTTCAAGTCGCACCTACATCCCAACAAAAATTCGCAATCTGTAGATCGTGATAGAAATCGCGACATTCGCTGATCAAATATGCGACGCCTCACCATCGTCTTTGATCGACCGTGAGCAAAGCGGTGCCTTTATTCTCAGAGTAATTCGCGATCACGACACCCACGAACAATGTCAAGCCAATCATGCAACCGAGGAAAATATAAATGTGTATATAGATTGAGTGAAGCTGAAAAGAGAATGCAATGAGACATTGACGGATACGATGGAAATAATATTCTTATCCCAAATTTTGAAAAGATAATTACTTACAGGTCCAAGAGCCTTAATAAGGACGTCCCGCACGTCAAGCCAGCCTTTGAAAGAAAGCACTTCGAACAGAGCCATCATAGCGTCGCCAATATTATCAAAATTGAATCTTTTAGGATTAGCCCTGAAAAATACATATAAAATTAGTATGACGAATACCTATATGGAATTTTTATAATAGAAATTTTATAATAAAGAGTACAGCTAATATTAGTCGAAGAAAAACTTCCGGAATTATATGATTTAGCTTACCAAACGCGCGGTACCAATATGGATGGATAACTCTCGTTTTTTCCCGGTCGCAGTTTCATCTTCGTCACGAACACTCGTCTCATAAATACACCGACGCACTCCTCGCGCTTCAAAATCGTGGGATCGTTGCATCTTGCTAATCTACCACCATACAGTTGTACTCCGTAACTCGCGAACATGAACATCAGCAGAAACAGTAATGTCGATACCTGGATAAAATATTCATTCATTAATTTGTTTCGCTATGTCCACGTCGTTTACGGACTGATCCTTTCTAGAAATAATGATGTGTCTAAAATCTCCAAAGCAAGAACAGCATTTACCAGCAGAATTTCCTTGAATCCTCTGCACAGCTCATAAACGACCTTTCTCATGTGCGGTACAAGGGTGAAGATTCTTAGCGGTCTAACGCATCGTAATATCATCAGTAGCTGCGCTCCAGAATTCGGTGGCACGCTCTTCGGCATCCAACATAAGAATACGAGACTTACCTGCAACAATGTGCATGCGTTTATTACATTACATATATACATATGTACAGAATCATTATATGTCGTAATTATTCCTTACAATTTGTCACATATAGATGCTGTAATTCATTATATATATAGAATTAAATGAGATATTTTGTACTGTAGTCAAATTTGATATTTCCAACATATTAAACGCACAATGTAAATGAAGACATCTAACACAGAAGCAACATCCTTGATGTAGGCCTTGGGCGTGAAGAACAGACCGTCCGCCAAGATCTTTAACGCAAGTTCGATGCTCATGCAAATAACGAAGCAGTATTCGGTGACCTGCAACGCCGGTGTCTCCATCACGCGTTTTCGCGGCGTCTCGAACATCATCGAGATGCACGACAACGTCGTGATAAATATCATTACCCAGTCGAGATATGTCACTAAACCGAGGAAATTGCTGGAAGAAAAAGATACAGAATTCGCCAAGTTGGCCACTTTGCTTCGCCCATGACGGGACAATATATTTATAATTTTGCGATATTTACTGCAGACTCTTGTACTGCACTTTCCTTTCCTTGCCCGTCAAAGGATCCTTCAATCTCGCGTCGTATCTCGCATAGACAAACAGCTGGCAATATTTTCGGAATTTACTTTCGCGAGGTACCGCGAACAACGGCGTGTCGAAGAACGGATGATTCTCTCGCAAATCATCTTCGCGTTGATTTCTGGAATGGAAACAGAAAGAACAGATTGTGTAAGATTATGGAAATTCCTGAAATCGCGCGTGGACGTAATCTAGATACCTTCGCATCTCCGCCTGTTGCCTCTTAGCTTGCAGCAACTTGATGTCTAAATCATGCGGCCTACTACGCGACGAACTGACTCTGTTTATTCCCCCTATGTCACCGTTTTCCATGAGATGCTCGTACGTCTGTTTGAGCTTGATTGATCCACTTCGGACACTTCTTCTGATTGATCTGTTTTCGTCATGCCATACGCAAATAGAAACCGTAGGGTAAATAATTGAAAAAACATAAAATAATCGATGTCTTTACGATACCATCTTTACGATATCAAAGAATGTGAATAAATAATAATTTAAAAAAAATTGCCGTTGGATCTTTAAGTTGTCCCGTTTCTTTAATTTTTAAATTTATAAATCCAAATTCTTTTGAGATTTTTTCTTATCAACAAGTATATCTATCTTATTCTTACTTTTTCGGATCGATGCGAAGCTGCTTGGCGCCACTCACAGTACCCTGCGGTTTCAGAAGTCCTTTCCCTGGTACTGGAATCATGGCGGAGTCTCCCAAGAGAAGCCTCTGATTGTTGGAATCGCTATATAACGCAGAAAGACTTAAAATCTAAGTCGTAAACTTCGTGAGATGTAATAGCGAATGATATTTTACTTACTTTATGATATAAATAACGGACGCTTTCTTCAGATTAGTAACAACGCTTCTCACCTTCGGCGGATTGTTTAAGATTTTCACCGGGCGTTGCTTTCTATACACTATTTTCGAGTCAAAGGTTTCATTAGTTCTCTTTGCACCTTCGTTTTCCTCGTCCTCCACTTCAAGCACGAATTGTCGCATAAAGCTCTCGCGCACCTTAGGAAAGATAAGTAATAACCCGAGTACTAATTCAATCCATTCGAATAACAAAACAAGATTGTTTTACAATCTTAAAGGTATAAGACATTAAAAATCTATCTCTTTAACAAAATTAAAACTTATTAAAACAACAATCAAAATAAATTTCACATTTGGTGAAAAAAAATACAAGTTTTAATAATAATTACAATTAGTGATAAAATTATTCGCAAATATATTTACCTTCGGTAAATTGAAATCTGACGGCACTTTGTGAAGACACGTCATTTGTGGACTGTCTGGAAACTTTTCAAAGATTCTCAATCTGAACGGCAAGCTTTCCTTTATCTCGGCACTTTGTTCGCGAAATTTCAATTGCTTCAGTTTCTTAATGTCCTCGTCCAGCTCGAGATTGTCGAGAATTACCGCGACGAAAAGACTCAACACGATCTGATGGGATAATTAAGCATTAATTAAAACCGTGGCTTGTATCGCACGAAGCAGATTTTGCGCAATGGTTACCAATGTGACGAAGAGATGGTACAAGATGAAATATACTGCAACCAGCGGTGCTACCGTTTCGTGGGTTCGTAACATAGTTTCATCCATTACGTCAACCCAGGCTTCTTGCGTGAAAATTTGGAACATGGACATAAACGCCTGGAAATTTATATTTTAGCGGTTTGAGTAAAAAAAATCGCGTAATGACAATTTGCTAAAAGTAAGTATAAGTGGCTCACCTCGGGAAAGGTTTCGAACTTAGTGAAATCGCAGAGGAAACAGAAGAGTTGCATGGAAATACTGGAGGATATCACCAGCAGGCACATGGTAAAAATAATGAGACTGCCGAGCTTCTTGCCGGGGCCGAAAATCTTATAGACAAAGTCCTCCAACATCGGCGATGCCTTAATGAGCCGGACCATTCTGAGAACCTGTCCGCATAAAAGTATGATGACAAATTAAATATCTCTCATTGTTCAAATGTTTGAATTTTTAGAAGTATAAAAAAATCAGTTGAGAGTGTAAAACGCGCGAACAAGTTGAAAAGAGCATAGGTTCGTAGAAAAAAAATTCAGAAAATGAAGCGACGCGAAAGACGAGAGGTCAGATAAAGGTAGAAACCTGAAAGTAAGTGAATCCAGAGAGATAGAAGAACGGAAGAATGTGTATAGTCGTGCCAATGGCAAGCAGCAGTTCGAACTTGTGAATCGAATGCTTGTAATAACTCCGGAAGCCCAGGCACCATATCTTGAAGAGGGTCTCTAGGTCCAGTAATATCGTGAAGACAATCTCGGCCCAGTAATAATTGTCGTAGTACGTATGCCTCGGTTTCTCGTCGTGCTTGAAGCTCATCGTCGCGGTGGTGATACCGTTCGCCAGAATCGCGCACATTACCACCGAGCGAAAATGCGGCGACTTAAGGATGGTGTGACAGAGCGGAGAGGCTAAACCCCCATGCTTATTCTCATCTAATGTCACTAATTTCCAACCATTGTCATCTCCGGTCAGTATCTGTAACAATAAAATAATTAACAAAGTAAATGTACATATCAATTATCAATAAAATCATATTGTTATTCGCCTAAAATTATTTTTAAATGCTGTTCACGTTTTTTTTATTAAAAATATACGTTAACTTTAAAGTAAAATAAAATTGTTTTTTTTTTTCGAAGATATTTTTTTAACACAACCGACCTGCGATGCCGAACTGTTGCTGATGTGTCCTCTGACGCCCCACATTTGTTGGAACTGCACTCTGATTTCATTAAAAGTCTCCGTGATAACAGCAATGAAAACGTTCTTCACTAACCAGGCCAGGAAAAATATCATCGTGCTGAAGTAAAGAACCGCGCGCCATGCCGGTAGACTGTCGATCGCGCGATACATGATGAAGACCCATCCTTCCTGAGAAGCCGCTTGGTACACGGTGAAGATACTGGTAGCTAAATAATCCAAGTTCAGAATCAAAGTTTCAGACAATGCTTGCAATGAGATTTTAATATTTCAATTGATAAATGCTGTGTATTAAGATTAAGTTTTCGCATTTCTAAGGAAAGAGTTAAATTTGACATATAAAAGATATACATATTTCGCGATAAAATTGCACTCGATAAATTATATTTATAATCTTGTATTTTTAAAGCTGTTGTAATTATCATATTGCATATAGGAATACAAAATATAGGATATAAGATGTAAAAGGATAGTAGATTTATTGTAGCTTCAAGAAGCTGCAACAAATGTTCCAGAAAATTAATTAGCTTAAAATATTTTCAGAGGGATGATACGGAAGTCAATAGATTCGAAGCGCAGAGGAACGACAGGGGTGTAGTAAAATTAACATTAACTACCAAACTCGTCAAATCCATTGAAGCCTATGATATACTTGGTCAATTCCAGCTTCATGCAGATCATTCCTTCAGGGCATTGATATCCGGATCCAGGATCAGTGGAGCAGAACGTATCGGGAATAGCCAGGCTGTTGATCGTGATGTAATGGGGCTTGGTTGTGTTCTGCACGCAGTGATTTTTCAGTTCGCCGAAGAATTGCACACCCAGAAGGCCATAAAGAGACATGAAGAACAGGAAGAAAAGCGTTACGTTGTAGATCTGCTGACTCGAGCGTCTATAAATATAAATTATATTGTTAGTAATCGATAATATTAAATTAAATTAATAGTTGCTATTAATACTTTGCTTTTTATCTAGTTTTTAAGCAACACAAATTTTTTACGTTAATCGCCAGTGCAACTTTCTTACTTGAAAATCTGATTGATTCTGGCTTTGGGCATCGAAAATTTGAGGAAGACTCGGAGGAAGCGTATCATGATCAGCGGCCGTGGTGCCCGCATAATCGAGGCGTAACTAAACTTTATGAGGAAACCCAGCATCTCGAACATTTGCAGGATCACAGATAACCAGAGGAAGATCACCATACTCGCGTCGAATTGGCACCAGTGGTCTTTCAAATAAGACTTATCCCTCTGCAATGTCATTAACAATTTCATTCTAACTTATTGTAAATTGTCGTTACAATTGCATTAAAATTGTATTCTTCGTTTTATAATGTTGCTGGTGTAATAAAAAATAAAAAATTTTAATTGCTCTTCGGTTAGGTATCTCCTCAGTCATAATATCCTCTTTGATAAGGACTTCACCTTCAGTATTCCCCGTATGTGCATCTTGGCGATCATCTCGGCAGTGAACAGAAACGTGACTATCAAATCGCAAATGAAGGTAACGTATTGGAGGGACGGTACTTTCTCAAATGTTTTCGGGGTGTTCAGGCAAACGGAAGTCAACGAGACTAGGGCGCAAAATCGCATCAGCCTCCTCACCCATAACTGCAATCACGTAAAGCGGTTTTCAGGAAAGATCTGAGAAAAGGAAAACGGCACTTTCGCGACTCGGGCAATTTTCTTATCTCATCCCGAGTCGATCCGTGCAATGCTTTTCTGCTCACCTTGTTGACCCACTCTATGTCAGCGCTCTCATTGAGGGACTCCTCCGGACCGTAATCGGCCAGGACGGGTTCCCCCTTGAGGCTCTGCTTCCGCCCCAGCATCATAATGGGGATTATGTTCGCAATGGTGAGGCCTAGAAATAGGGAACGAACATTTGTGGCCGAAATTAGACATGCCATTTTATACCAATAAAAACAATTATTAGAAATAAAATTATAACTGACTGGGTAATTACGCATTGCATCTGTTCTCGTTCTACATTTTTGCTTCTACGTTCGATGACATATATTTTATCAACTACTTTAAAATACATGTGTTATTAAATTAACAATCCTATATAGAGCATGGTACATAGAATTTCAAACGTTACATGACATAATTATTAATAAATATTTAATTTCCAGTAATACTTTGGAAGAGACACGTATCATTTTATTGTACAAAAGATAATTTATATTCAAATTACCTGTCATGTTCGAAGCATAATATAAAATAATAATTTAACATTAAAATAAAAATGACAATCAAAGAGGAATCTAATCTAATTAAAAAATAACTTGAAAAATTTACGAAAAACGGTGTGTTGTTCGTACATCATCAAGGGATTTACCTTTCTTTTAGCTGTTCACGGAACGACGGACACTGCCTTTACGGCAATTTCTATAGACTACATCTCGATATAAAGCAACGATAAAGCTCAACATGTAATAAACATCTCAGAGGTAATAACAAGCTGGCAATGTCGCGGCGAACATGTTTCGGCCGTGTCGCCAGCACGGCCGAAAGTCTGAGTGAACGGGCATGAGCAGTATGCGCTCTCCACCTCCTGTGAGAAAATCAATATTTCACTATTCCCAAGCGCGCGAATTTCCAGAAATCCTTCTAGATTTAGTTTAATTTTGCCCAGAAGATATCCCCGTTTAATTAAATCAATTCTTTCATTGTTGCTAAATCATAAGATGTTACCAGTAACATCTTGACGGCAAGAATGTTGTTTTTTTTTTAGATACATTTTATGTATAATTTCTAGTATACCTAAAAGTTATATAAAACTAGTATAATAAAGATTAAATTATTGTAACAAATTAATTACTTGGAGGATTAAATATGAAAAAATGGAAAAAATGGGAAGATTTTCTTCTTTTTTTTATATTTATACAGATACAGAATACGAACTTGTAATAACATATAGTTTTAATCTTTAATTAATAATTTAGTAATTCATTAATAGAAAAGTATAACCATTCATTCAATTTACTCACTGTATTTTTGTGAAATATATATTTTTCTTTTTCTTTCACTTACTTATGTGACCTCCGAGAGTTAGTGTAATTAATTTTCATTTACTGATAAAACGCGACTAAAATGCATTGCGATCGCGATTCAGATCTCTGCGGAAATTATTTCACGCGTTTTTATCCGCGGCAGCCATCAGTTTCGAAAATTCAGAATCCGGACGAGAGAGAAGCTTCGCGGGTTCATCGAATTCGACAACCCTGCCCTCGCTCATGACGAGAATGCGATTACATGTGACGACCGTTTGCAATCGGTGAGCGATCGTAAGTACAGTACAATCGGCGAACTCGTTCTGCAGGGTGTTCTGCACCGTCGTTTCAGTTTCCGGATCAACAGCGGCAGTGGCTTCATCCAGAATCAGCACCTACAAAACGATAAATTTCAGTGTAATCATTAATATTAATGTTAACATTCTAAAAAGAATCCAAAAATCAATTTTAAATACATGTAATATTGCAGAAATCACTCAAAGCGTGTTACCTTTGCACTATGTAATAGAGCTCTTGAAAGACAAAGAAGCTGTCTCTCGCCGACGCTCAGATTATTTCCACCAAATCCAACGGAAGCGTCGAGATTTCCCGGCATAACAGATACCTTTTCTTTCATCTGAGTCTTTTCAAGGGCGCTCCAAATATCGCGATCGGCGTGCTGTTGGAAGGGATCCAAATTAGATCTGAAAAAACGAATCGATTAAAAAGAGCAGTCAGCAAAAATTGTCAATTAAATTTATTACCTTATAGTGCCGCTGAATAAAATTGGATCCTGAGGAATAATCGACAATTTACTTCTCAATACATCCAACTCCAATTTCGAAATGTCGATACCGTCAATTTTAATAACACCCTCGCAAATTTCGACTAGTCGGAATAAAGCTACGACCAAGGAACTTTTGCCCGATCCCGTGCGACCCACGATGCCTAAAATAATTCACAATTATATTAATCTCTCGCGTGAGAAAGAGCGACAAACGAGTTAGGGAAATATTTGGTCATTACCGATTTTCTCTCCGGCCTTTATGTTAAACGAGACGTCGATCAGTACAAGCGGTAGCTCCTCCCTATATCTCATTTGAACAGCTTTGAACTCTATTTTGCCATGAGAAGGCCAATCATCGGTTATTTTAAGAGCGACTGTCCTGCTTGCACCTTCCCTCTGCAAAGTCTAAATAAGAAGACAATGAGATAAGTAATAAGATTAAGATGTAGATATTAATCACACAATTAGCATTTATATATTTACGGAATTATCAATTAAACGGAAATAAATTACCTTGAGGTAATAACTGATTCTCTCTACGCTTATAAAGCGCACCTCCGTCTCGGACATCAGTCTCACTGTATACTGGAAAACGCCAGTCATTTGCGTGGCATACGCCATAGCCAGACCGGCAAAGGCCGGCGAAATCTCATTTTTGAAAGATATCACGAGTAACGCGGTTATGCAGGACGAGGCAATTACCAAACTGTCCAGCCTCACCGCAGACCATCTCATCGCGGCTTGGCACAGATGCTGACATAAGTTATTCGTGTTGAATAACTCTTCAAATCTGTCGATGAGAAAAAATTTAATCGTCTTTCCTTGTTATTTTATGTTTTATTACCCCTGACGCAGTGTTTCACTGAATAATTACCTATATAAGAAATTCTTCTCCTTTTGAAACGCGTGAATTGTGCTCAAACCTTGGATAGAAGTTGTGACGAAACTCAAAACAGGAGACCGCGAGACACTCTCCATTCTCTTCAAATCCCTCATTCCTATTCTGCAGAGGTATGAGAAGAAACCGTTGATCATGTAAATTATACACGTAAATTATGCGATATTTAAGATACTTACCTAAACAGTTTGCCAACAAAGAAGAACAATGTACCAAACAGAAGTAACGGTATCGAAAACCAGGGCAGTATACCGCAGATAAAGAAAATAGCAAAACTACAAGTAAAAATATTTTGCACCATATTTTCTATCGATATAGGTAAGTAATTGTCAACTGCAAATCAGAAAGTATCAATCAAATTAGATGATATGTATTAATTCGCAACAGTGCATGTGTTCAAAATCATTAAAAGATCACTCACTTTCGTCTATGTCTCGAGTGAAAACATTTTGTATTCTACCACTTGGAGTGGTTTCGAAGAAGCTCAACGGAGAACTAATGATTTTGCGAAAAAACGTGTTGTGCAATGTGGTCGAGGCCTTTATCGTGGCAAACATAATGACTAGGCCACGAATAAAACTTGTCAATAGTATACCGGCGATGCAGGTGCCGTATATATCTCGATAAAACGAGAAGTGAGGATTGGCGTTTATATTCTCCGAATATACAGTATCATTAGTTCCTGACACAGTCACGTTCTGAAAATTGAATGAAATAGATACGTGATTGATACGATATATCCAATATTAACTCGAAAAACTAAGCCGTAACAAATAGTATTATTAAAATATCTTATGATTAAAGAAAAAAAGATATAGATATTTTAAAATGTGTGTTTTAAATATTAAATATATGAGTTACTTACGCCTCCGCCAGCTTTAATCCATACAGCGAGCCACCAAGTACTGAAGGCTGAACTGCCTACGTTCAAGAAAAATGTAAAAAATACAATAATAGCGATCAAGTAACCACCTGTGGCTTGCACGTATGTGTGATAAGTGTATGACTTGACAGATCCAGTCTCGGACTTTTCTGCTACTGTTAAAGCTGTTCCTAAATTTGAAAGAAGAAAATTATTAGAAGTCTCCAAATCAGAAGACATCATACAATTAAACGCGCCCACCTTTGTATAATTTCTCTTTTCCATAATTTTCCTTGTACGCAGATTCCGCTTTTCGCACTTCTGAATCGTCAATATTTCTCTGCATCACCCCCGTAGATTTAACACTGCGAAGAAGGGAAGGCCTACTGTACCGCTTTCGAACAATTCGAAAAATACGTACAATGTATATTAAACGTACGCTGACAAATGATCTTCCGTTACAATTGTGCTGTTTTTCACCATCGAGGCGTATTCCCTATCGAGTCGCATCAGATCTTCGTGGGTTCCATGCTCTACGATCTTGCCCGCATTCATCATGTAGATTTCATCACAACGTTTTAAAAACTGCAACAAATATATTCAGAATAATTTAAAATTCCAAATAAATTTCATTGTCAATTATAATTTCATTGTCAATTATAAAACACATTTATATATTAATAAAATGTCTGGGGATTCCAATTATTTAAATACCCACCTGAATGTTATGTGTCACGAAAAGAACAGATTTGTTTCTTAGAGCTTCCAGGATCAATTTCTCAAATATATACGAGCCGACATACGCGTCAACCGCGCTCAAAGGATCGTCGAGAAAGTAAATGTCCCTGAAAAACGACAGATACAATTGCAATATTTATTTTAGCAAATTTACGATCGATGTACTTATTAAAAGAAAGACGGCAAAAGATTTTGCGCACCGATTAGCATAATATGCTCGCGCGAGCGCGACCCTCTGCTTCTGTCCTCCGGACAGATTGACACCCCTCTCACCAATCTCGGTATCGTCTCCTCCCGGCAACATGTTCAAATCTTCCTTCAGGTTGCAAATTGTGATCGTGTGATAGTAACGTTTGGCATCGAACTCCTCGCCAAAGAGTATGTTCTCCTTGAAGGTGCCATTCACAATCCACGCCTGTTGGCTGACGTAGGCGCATGTGCCTTCCCTCAGGATGTTTCCCTTCGTCATCCTCAGCTGTCCCAAAGCTGCTAGCAGTAGACTGGACTTGCCGCTGCCTACGTGGCCGCAGATACCGACCAGTTTTCCTTTGGGTGCTCCGAAATGCAGGTCGCTAAGAACTTCGACGTACTTAGCTTCCTGCGTCGGTTGATTCAGGTTTTCCAATTCAAGCGGATTGTCCGTGACCGGTGGCGATTTCTTCCTACGTGAAAAATGATTATCGTGACCTATGGGAGAAATTGCGATAATTATTACGGAATAAATATTTACTTTTTTTTGCTGTCGGTTGATGCATCCGTTTGAAGCCTTATGCTGTCGCAAACAAAGGTGCCATTAGCAATGGCAACCGCTTGCGATCTCACAATCGGTTTCGACGCTCGGCAACTGCCCTCGTCCAACAGCAATACGTCCTGTGCAAATATCGCTTCGTTAATCGGATTATCTATTCAATAGGTACTTGAAGAAACGCCATTATGTTAGAAGCACGTCAAAAGCAAACAAGCATAAATATGTAAAAACGTAACTGTAGAAAAATAAGATAAAGATATGCAGTATGTACACAGCGATATTAGGACGAAATATTCGGATCCATTAATTTCTAAAACTAGCAATACAAATTTGTGTAGCGATATACTTGTTGTTTGAGTAAATCTTGGCACAATTGTTACACGATACAAGTACAAACGAAGCAATAGACAAACGTTTTGTTAGCAAAATAAAAGCCGATTAATTATTATTCGGTTATATCGAAAGATGAAAATGTTAATTGACCACAATGTTACGATACAACACGTATGGTGCAGTCGACTGTGCATTCCTATAGATATAAACAAGAATAAACACCTTTATTCTGCCATAAGTTATCTTTACTGCAGCGATATTAATTAAGGCCACTTGTAAAAACATGAAAGAGGTACGAATTTGAGCATTGAGCACCGATACGAAGGGAAACACCTGAAAAGTGTAGAATTAGAACGATCATGTTAGTACAATTTGTACTACGCGTAAGCGTGGGAACGTCATGCCCCCAACTCGATATTTACAGCTGGCAATTCGAGTATACCAAAAGAATCGCTAACAACAGCTGTTTAAATGTAACAGGATGCTTTACAAGGCATGCAGTGTTTGCCCATCACAATTATTCTCATTTTAGAAAGCTTGTGCTTTTTACATTAAAACGACATTGACCTCATGTACGTATTATTATAGGAATAGTGCTCGTGCTGTCTTTCTTCCAATTTCTTTTGGTGAAAATTACTCTATTATAATTTTGTTACAATGATCGAGTATCTTTAATCAACTTGGCTAAAATTCAACAATTTTTTATTTTTTAAAGTTATTCATTTTTTTTAAATATAATCTTAATGAAAATTGTGTAAAAATAAATAACAATTCACACAAAATAAACTTTTTGAACACGAAAACTGGCTTCCTAATAATAGGTACGGATATCCGACCCATTAAGCTGTACATGAAATCACTCAAAAAAACACTGGAGACCTTGAATCTTCTAAGAGCTATGAGGGCGCTCATAAAATATCGCGTGGTATCCTTAAGTGACGTGAGTGCCAGTCTAAGCAAATTTCCAAATAACGTGGTCATTGGGAAAGCCTGTAATGTAATCCATCGATTGTGTAAAGCCAAAAAGGAATTATCTTGTAACGAGGAATGCAAATATTCGTGAAAACGGATTTGATCAAAGGAAAAACTTTATCGTTTTATCAAACTGCTTAGTGCTTACCTATTAGATGTTATTCGATTTCTCCTGATATACATAAAATTAGGATATTTATAAAAATATTGTACATCTTGAAAATCAGGAATTGTATTGATAAATTGTATTATATACCTGCGCGGCCGTTAATCCACTGCCCGAGGCAATGTGTGCTAGAAACGTGATGATCGCGGATATTACAGGTATAGCAGGCGTTAGAGAAATGCTAAGACTTTGAAAATAAGCAGTCTTATGAAGCCATCGTTCCTCCTTCTTGCGTATGGCTGTAAAAACATCAAATCACTTATGTTTCATAAATACATGTATCTTTCTAATAACAAAAATATATATATATATGTATTAAAATGAAAATAATTATAATTCTATCATCAGCAACATTGCTTTCAATAATTTATATTCTTGTTATTTATACGAGATAGTTTTTAATTTTCTATTCTATTATTCTCACCGAGAAGTTTCTGGCCAAAATAGTTCTCCCAGGAATACATTTTAATCAACTTTATGCATTCCAAGATCTCACTCATGAGTCGCACTCGAGCGTCCGTAATATTTACCGACTTCGAGCGAAAGTAGCCAGTCGCGCGAGAGATGAAGTACTAAAATACAGATATGGCTCTGTTGATCGAAATATGTGTATGAAATATGTGAAAATAAGCATATATAACAAACCACTTACCTGACATGGATAAAACGAGAGAAAAGCTATCATTCCTACCAGAGCGATGGGATTGAATAACCACAATACATAAATTATACCGCAACTTATAACTATAGGTCCGCTGATAATCATCGGCCCATAAATGATCACATCAAAGAGCCTTTGACTGTCGTTGCAAAATAAATTGATTACCTAAAAGAAATCACATATCGCATCGAGAGCACTTTTATTGTGTTTAAAAATTTATAAAACAAGTTGAGCAACTTACTTCTCCCGTACTTTTATTGCCGAGACTATTCAGCCTCATAATCTTCTTATATAATAGAGCTGTACAAGCCGACTTCAATCGTAATCCAGTCTTGTAATTCATATTCCACGTCCAGGTGAAGAAGAAAGCTCGCAGAGAATCGCATACCGTCAATAGAAAAACCCATTTAATGCCATCCCAAAAGTTCTCTTCTGGAGACTCCACGTGCTCCAATATTTTCCTCATTATTATCGTCTAAGTATATAAAAGAACATTCTGTATTATAACAGAGACATTTAGTAACAATTTGTTGTTAACATAAGGATGATCTTACAGGACTGATAAATCCAAAAATAAGAGAACAAGTTAATAAAAAGCATGATATGCAAACTCGTGTGCGTACAAATCTCCACGCAACCATAGAAAAAGATGCTGCATTAGGACCGTTTTGACTTAGCTCCTGTTGCCAAAGTACGTCAAGTCTAAAAAAAAACATTCTTGTTTATACTGTAACTATGTTTACAGGAGACACACGCTAATGTATTAAGTTTACCTGAGTGCATTGTATTCGCAGGTATCATATACTGAAATATCCGGTAAATCATTTATCGTAAGACCTTTCTTGTACGCTTTCCAAAAGTACGGTGTCATCCAAGTTATGTATACATACGAAAATAACCCAGCATTATCTGCTGGTGAATTTTCTTTCTTTCTGCAAAACGTATTTTCATCACTAAAATATTCTTACATCGTTACACTTGATATATATTTTATAAAAGTACATTTTATTAAAATATATGTCATTTTGAATTATCACGAAAGATTATTGGATTGTGAGACTTTGATTACGATACATACTGGTTCTGGTATCGTACTGGTATCAAATTGCTCAAAGCATTATTGTACTTCTTCATTCCAGACCTCGGCATGTATTCTCTAACTTGTCTCGCTGTGCTACCACTTGCCTTTGGTAGGAGAGATTGCTGTTGCCTATCTGGCTCCGAAGATCTAACGGAAGATTGAAAGGAATTGTTATATATCTTCCTTAATTCGAATAGTTAAATCTAGCGTTTCATCAACTTTATTTCTCTCAAGGAACACAAAAAATAACTCGTGTGGAACAACTTCGTACCTTTCATTATGTTTATGCTGTGTGTTACTTTCAGTCCGCTTGTCATTACTGTCATTGTTGCCTTCTGCGGTTTGGCCCATCTTCACAGGATATTCTTCAACGTGCTCACTTCCACAAACGCATCAATGATACTCGAAGAACCTGAAATTTGTATTTCACACATCACAATTACACATCTCGAGAAACGAGGGAGATAAAGATCTGTAATCGTCGCGCGAGGCGTGCCGCGATAAAACGAAATTGTGTAGAGATTATACACATTCGGTACATATCTCGGGAATACTGAAGCGCAAACAAAGCTTCTTCGACACAATTGCGAAATGCGTGACACGACTGAAAACAACATTCCAATACCGGCATACGATTCCCACATATTTTCATCGACACGTAACATGTAAATAAATAACATCCGACACAGTTCTCTGTTATACCGTTTTTACTCACCTCATCAACACTTTAGTATAGGTGAGATACGCTCGTTTGCATCGACAAGTAATCGTCGGCTACATCGGCACGATACTGATAAGAGCGGGAGCTTAATCGGTTTAATCTCTCGACATCATTAATGAGGTGTGTATTTTTTGAATTTCCGTCCACGCGCTCAGCTGAGGCGAAGGGAGAGGGAGCACACGCTGGCGTGCTGTGCACATGGCACGCGCACGCACACTGACGCACCTTCTCGTATCGGATGGCTTTTGATACCTGTTAACAGCAATGATAACATTTAACGGCGGCATTCGGCATACTGATATCGTCGCGTAAAGGTCAAATTCGAATATTATTAGCGCGTGAAAATACGCCTTTCCCGTCTTTGGAAATCAACGCGACCCACGGCGGGTGCCTTGTATTTGTACCTTGTTTACAGCATCGAGAATGAAAATCACCGAAATCCCTTACCAGTCGACCACCGAAATCCCTTTCGGTCGACAATATTTGGATCCGAATCGAGGTCAATGTACTCGAGCGTGCTCGAGCGTACTCGCGAGAACTTTGCGCGCAGGCAGAGGTAGACTGGCGGGACTGGCCTTCTATCGAAGCAGCCGCCCGCTTTTGTCTTCCGGAAAAGCGTGGGCGAACAACGTCATATCTGCAATCTAACTTCGTCTTCTGACAAATTAGTTTTCCTCCTGGGACTTCCGTTTACAAGCACGATAAACTCTGCGTGCATTGTTTACTTAATGAAGCTGGACGTGATGAAGCGTCTGTATGCGAGCGACGTGTCAACCGTGGTCGCGGCTATATACGCGGTGTCCGAAAAGATCGTTGTCACAGCTGATCACAGCCTTCGAGTGTCTTGTCAAATGATAAAACATTTTGTAACATCTACGAAACTCGACTTAAATATAGGTCGAACAAACTTCGACACCTGTTGACGTTGAATTTCGTCTACACAAGATTTTGGAGAGTAAATAATGAATGCTTGAATAAATGAAATATTGTGCACTTCTACTAAAGTAGATGAATCCTTAAAGGCGAGTCCTTTTTTCATGATCGATCCCATATCCAGAATATATCCTTGGACGTGCGAATATTAAATAAAAAATCTCAAACGAAATGCTGTGAATTCTTAGACAGACGAAGCTTTGGATGAATGTGGGACATTGACTGGATTTTCAAATGGTTTCAATGATAGATTTTCCTCTAAGCCTTAATCTACGTGATCTTGGACGAGAATTTTATTCTAATTGTAAGAATATATTACATAGGCCAAGAATGTGTAACAATACAAATATAAACAAGTTAGATTTATTTAGTCAGCGTAATTCTGCTTAAACGTTCTGCTGAACGTTCAATTTAAATGACAAGTCTAACTTATTTACGTTCGTATTGTTCGTATAATCTAAGGAATTACGTACAATTTTACGTATTTTCCTCTCGTTGTGTTTTACTTCTTTTTTTTTTATTCAAACATCTCGGAGAATATAAACCGAAACTATAAGGCTTATGCGTTAAGATATACACAACATTGACACTTGCCAGTTGGCATCTCCTTATGCGGTTCGCAACACCTACACAACGAAAATTATAATTCCTTACTCGAAGGTTACACAATACGTCATATCGTACATTATCGCGTTAGGATGAAAAATGAGCTCTCTGACTTAGGTTCCTTCGATACACACGAGACAATACGATGAATTTGTTGAGGTGCGATCGCGAGCTACTATAGTCAGTCCGTGTATATTACAATCGTATATTTCGCGCTTTACAGCTTGTCGCTACGTCTCAACGTATATTGACGATCATCTTTATGTCTAAGCTCGCATCAAAGCCATTACGACATATAACATGCTTATGTATCTTATAAAATTATAACTCTAATTATTTGATATTAGATCAGAAGATATGTACGTCGTCATGGAAAACAAGAGGTACCTTTTTCACATTTAATTCAATAGTATCTGAATAAAAAAGTAACACCCTTCCCTGATATATTCCCCAAGAAACTCGCCTTGGATCTCATCTCGACGACGTACGATTGTCTGTTGACATTGCGCTCAGTTTGAAAGAAAAGAAAAAAAGAACAGATATACGTTATCGAAGATAAAGGGGGAAATTATCGTTTTTCCACCTTTAAGTTCACTAGTGAAAATTAAATTACATCATCTATGTAACTTATCCCTGTGTATGTTATCCTATCCCTATCCTATGTTTAAAATTACAATATCCCATACAAGTTATAAAAAGAAAGAATAAACAAGTACTTACACACTACCGATTTGGCTTACGATTAATATTTAATATATAATTAAAGACTACGCAAAGAAAACAAAAAGAAAAAAAAAGGACTATTCATATTGCATCAGCGTAACTTAGTGTCTTTTCACCACTGATCACTTTGATTTTGAACGAATATATAAATCGTCGTTTAGCGTTAGAAACGCATTGCCCGATCTCAAAAACTATTGTAGTTATTGCCGCCCAACTGCGAGTTGAAACCTCTGTTGTTTGGCGAGTATGCTGGCCTGAAGTTGTTGGTACCTAAGCCTGCGTACAAAGAAACCTATATATGCATGTATACATAAACATGTTAAATAAATGTGCGATGTTGTATCAATATGACGTGATAAATGCGAATGGTTGAACAATTTTCTGCGATTAGCGTAATTTAGGTGTATTAAATCAGAGTTGTTTCGGAATATTTTAATACAAGGAAAATTATATACGAACCATTTACAATCATAAGAGATTATTCCAACATTTAATATATTTTCAAATTAATTTAGAGAATTACACGTTTTATCTTCCGTTATGCGTTTTCAGTTTTCGATATGATCCAGCAATGTTACCTCCACAGAAATTGCCGATACCGCTTAGTGACATGCTACTCGACCCGCCGGTTGAGTTCATAAACAGTTCGATATATCTGTGCGACATGTGGCTTTTATCCTGCAACAAGACGAACAAGTTAAAATCAAATTATCTTACGCTGTATACGAATTACCGTACGATACACGGTCTTTTCATGGGTGGAAATCGTTCCACATAAATGGTTTTTAAACTAAAAGTTGACTTTTAAAAAATAATTAAACAGGAGACACAAACCTTGCACATTGCTTTTAGAGCTTCTTCGTGAGTCGCGAATTCCACGTCAGCTTCTCCCGATGGACGACCGCCATTCTCAAGAATAATGCGGACGTTCACCGGCTCGATTGGTCTGAAGAACTGTAAAATAAAAATGTTGCAGAGATAAAAATTGGAAAAGGGTCTTTCAAAAATGGAGTTTTTATCGTTTGGTTATAAGAATTACATCAGCTATGTCTTGTTCCGTCGCCTTGAACGGCAGTCCTCGCATATGGATACTATACACGCCGGAGTTACCGCCCCAAGAGTCATTGTTGCCGCCTCTGTAATTGCCGCCCTTCATATCCATGCTGCCGCGCATTCCCATATTGCCGCCGCGAGATCCGTAGTTGTTCCCGCTTCCTCCCCATGGGCCGTTATCGAAGTCTAAAGTAGATTACAAAGTTTACGATAAAACCGGAAACAGATTACGAGATTTGAAATGAAGTAAATGGTAGACATGTAAATACATACGTAATGAATTAGTACGTGAATTGTATAATAAGTCTCTATTACGGTATTCTCCTGCACGAGAGTCTTCGTACTTCGATAGATGAAAGGAATCACCTCTATTTCTGGATCCTCGACCATTGTTGCTAAAGCGATTCATCCCACCGAAGCGATCACCTCGAGTGTACGG